TATTAGGATTAGATTCAGTCAAATGTTCAATTTAAAGAATTATTTGATGAAGATCACTAAGTAATTTGATAAGAGGAATGATGATTTTCTATTTAAAAAGATATAGTGCCATTAATGAAGCATTCATTAGAGTGTTAAAAAGTATAGACTTACTAATAATTTTAAAAATGAAGCAAAAGTAAATACTGATACTAACACATCTAATTTTATTCATTAATTTTTGTTTAATTGAAGTAACTCTAAGAAGTCATGAGGAATAGAAAATGTACCATTTACAATTTTTTTAATATTTATTAATTCTTCTTCATCATAATCATTCAAATTAATTTCTACAACTCTACCAGGTTCTTTGAATATTCCAAGTACATTAAATAATAGATTAATTCGTTCACTTGACATTTTAGAAATTTGATTTGTTAATACTTCTTTTTCTTTTATCGTCATTTTCTTTCTTTGATATTTTGTTCCTCTAATCTTAGCCATTTTTTCTTTCATTTCTTCAATCTCTGCTTCATCACAATAATAGAAGTTACTATGTTCATATATTGGTCGAACAGCTACTGGAAGAAAAGTAGGAGTTACACTAACTTGTTCTGGAAGTATTAATTTTGGAGGATTATTCTCTAGAAACGCTGAGTTAAACATTTTATCGAATTTTTTCATTAAATTAATAGCAGACTGATGTATTGAATTTTCAGAGGAGTTATAAATTTTTGCATTTTCAAATATTAGTTTCATATCTTTTTTGAAATCTTCTTTTGTTTCGTATAGTCCTTTACTAAGTTTAATTGATACTGTTTCTAAATCCATTGGATGTTTAACAATTTTATAATAATCTAAAATATTTAGTGCAATAGGATCTACTTCTGTTTTAAATGGTTCGCTTTCTTGGTTATTCATTATAGCACCTAATATTGATGAACATATTACAAGATCTTTATTCATATGAAGTTTACCTGATACTGCTTCAATATCTATTTCTTTTTTTCTAGAGATTTTTTTCCCATTTCTTGATTTATCTTTTAACAAAACAGAATTTTCTTCTTCAATGCCTTTCATTAATTTGATTTTTTTTGGATTTTTATTTGTCTTTCTTGAATATGAATGACTTACTTCTTTTTCTGGAATTGATATATCATCACTAAGATGGACCTTTTCTAAATAGTCTAAATGAGGACCTTGCTTTGTAGGATCTTCTTCACCTGAATGAACCCTTGAAGAATTGTATAAAACTGAATGATCTCTAGCTAGTACATGAGAATAACTTTGAATGTTATTTGTATCAATAGGCTGTAGAAATTGATCTAATGGACTTGGAAGTTTGTTTTGTTGTTGTGTTTTTGTTTTAGTAATATTTTTAATAAATGGATTATCTCTAATACTTGGAAGTTCATTTGTTGGCATTTGACTTGTTTCATTTACTTGTTGATTAACTGATTTAGGTTGCACTTGTTGAAGGGTATTTTGGTTATTAAAAGAAGGACGAAGAGGTGTGATATTAAGAGAGTTTTGTTGATGAATTGGTGGTATATTTTGAAGTTTGTGCTTTTCTTGAAATGCAACTCTAAATGGTCCAAAACACGTGTTAACACACCCTAGTCCTGTCCCACTTTGTTTTTTTCTTTCAAGATCATCTCCTTGGTAAAAAAGATTATTCATTTGATAAGGAATTGGTCCACTAATTTTAACTTCATCAAGTTCTTCTTCTGATAACACTACTGCTTCGTATGACCGTTGCTTTATTTTTGTTTGTTCAGCATCAGGAAACATTTCAGAACTTTCACCTATACTATCCTCATCATCTATTGTCATTTCTTCAAAAGCAGGTATTTTGCCAGTGTCATCGGTAAAGGATAAGATTATTGGCTCACGGAATGGTTCTGTCATTTGCTGAAGTAAAATTAACAGTTTTTTTTTCAGACTCACGTATTGATTGTTTCTCATCAATTGAAAAGAATAAACTATATTGTCAATTCAAATAAAATAATTCTTATTATTTTAACTATTAATGATTCCACGTCATTAATCATTTCAAGATCCAAAAAAATAAAATAAAAACAAAAAAATAAAAATAAAAACTTCATCACTTCTTTTCATCTTAAAATAATAAAGAAAGGCACATTAATGGAAATTGTTCATGATCAAAAATATTACGATTCTATTGCCTTACAATTACTAACATTATTAGCCCAAAATTCACTTGCAGAGTTTCATATTCAAATTGAATCATTACAACAAGAAGCTCATTATAATAATAATATTAAACAAGTTATTTCTATGGAACAATTCTTCATAGAAGGAAGATATAATCGTGTATTAGAAGGAGTTCAATCACTTCAATTAGGAGATATTTCATCATTGTTACCATTATTAAAACAAACATTAGTAGAAGCTGTTGCAGCAACAATAGAAACAGCTTATCATATTCTTCCAATTGACTATACTAAGAAAGTATTAATGATTTCAAATGACTCAGAATTCAATGAAGTAGTAGCAAATGTTTGTTGTTTAATATATTTCATTCATTTAATTAAAATAAATTTAATATTATTGTAGCATCAATGGAAAATTGAAGGAAATCAAATAATTTTTGAATTACCTAAAGTGGATAAAAAGAAAGGAGAGACATTAAGTTCTTTTGAAAACATTTCTGATTCACTTTCCTTGATTAAAGAAATGGATGAAATGATGTAATTTCATTGTTTTGATTCTTTGATTTATTTGGTTAAAAAAAATAATAAACAAATGAAAGAGAAAAAGGTTTGTATTTAAAATATAATCATCTTTCTTAAACAAGATTTCTTGCAACTTGTTTTGCTCTTCTGTAAATGATTCTTTTTGTAATGATAAAACCAAATAATAACACTAAGAAGATAAGGAAGATAATAATACCAACTGTAAAGAAGAGGTTTTTATATAACCATTGACCAACGTTTTGTACTACTTCAACTAATTCAACTTGTAATTTAAAATTTTGATATACTGCATTAATATCATTTCCATCTCCAATTTTAATATCTACTGTAACATAACCATCAGAAAGAAGTTGGATAAGATTAACAAAAGGATCATTAAACTGAATTTTTACTCTGACTTGATTGGAATTATCAATAGAAAATTGTGTTTGTTCTGTTTCTCCAATATATACTTTTTTCATGTGACTGAAATAATCACCAATTAGTGTAACTATAGACCCCGCTTTTCCTTTTACTGGGTCTGTCCTCCATATATCTGGCCATTCTTCTACTTCGCCATTACATAATTCACTTTGATTCACACATGTAATTACTCCACCATATCCAGTAACACTAATACTTTCTCCTGATGGACAAAGAATCCAATTTCCATTAACATTAACTCTATATCCTCGGTCTACACATTTTACTCTATAACAACTAAAGTCACTAATTGGAATAGAATATTTCATTAAACTAGATGAAAAACATCTTGAATCTTTTCCATATGAACTTCCTCTATCAAGGAATGATAATGAGGCAATATTTTCGGTTGATAATACACTCTTTTCATAACATTGACCTCCTGAAACTAATGTTGTGTGAATACAATAATCCATTAATTCAATCATCCCTCCTTTAGTTGGGTCTTCATAATTTTGATAAATTTTAGGCAAGTCTTTACGAACAGAAGTATCACAAATTCCAATGGCTCCTCTATCAGGAGTACATCCCCTTGCTTGAGTCTCACCATAATATGGAGCTTGTGTTGGCCAATTAGAACATTTGAAAAAATCTTTTTTCATACCTTTACCCCATGTTAATGGTTCAGCAGCACTATAATTAACTGAATAAGTTCCTAGGTCCTCAAAATATGCCAATGTGAAATTAGAAATGACTGAATAAGATGATGCTGTTCCTGTCATAATTTCATTATAAAGAACTCTTTTTTCCCAATGAGCTCCTGCAGTTCCACTCCCTCCACCATCCTCAAACTCTACATATGAAATTGAATTATCACCAAAATGCTCTCGAGCAACTTTAAGAACTTTTTCACTAGTAACAACAGGTACTGTCTCTGTTCCTCTTCCTTTAGAAATAGACATCATACCAGTAGGTGATACAAATCCCATTGCATGCATTGTTTCATGAAGGACAGTATGGACATTGATTCTGAATTTTCCTTCACTAACATCTAAATTTGCTGGGTTAATATTTGTATAACCAAAAATATTTCGTTTCTGATTATTTGGATTAGTAGAGCTTGCATCAGTAGCACTTCCACATGATGCGGCATAAGCCAATACAGTTTGTGAGTCAATAGGATGTGCAGTAACATACATTACCATTCCAATGTCATCAGCAATTGAGTTATCTTTTATACTAGAAATTTCTCCACATCTATCTTTATCTTTTATACTTGATTTTAATGTGGCTAACGTTCCTTTATGTACTCTAAAATATTTCTTAATTAAACGTTGTACTTCATCTATAATCTATTTGATTAATTCATCTATTTTATTTTTTTATACAATAACAAAACTAACTCTTATAATATATGCCTTTTTCTCTTGTGTTAACAAATTATCTTGTGTACAGGTTCCTGATACAACAAAACAAACAGGTGGAGTACTTACATATCCACTACCATAATTTAATGCATTAGTATCAAACTTAACATTTAATGGAACCCATTCAGAGTCGTCACTTGCTAATTTTCTTTTTGGATGATACAATGGACTTTCTGTTTTTTGTTGTATTTGAGAAAAGATACATTCAGCGAATGTAAATGAGATGAGTAGTAATACAATCAACATAGTATTATTAATTCAAAGTTTTTTTTATTTTTCTTCTTATATAGTTTTTTAGTTTATTATTATTTGTAGTTTCGAGTGCCAAATTCCATTCATCATTTCAATTTTTACAAAAAATGTGTTAAAGCTTTTCTTTTTGTTATTAAATAGTATAATTATTCCTCTTTTTCTTAATAAAACTCAACAAAAACTTTATTTTATTTTGGTATTTAAAATGGTTAAAGTTATTAATATATAACTATACCTCATTATATTAACAACTTATTGTTTCAGTGGCACATCCTGGATATGAACA